ATAATAATAGCTTTCTTTCTGCATCTTTCACTCAAAGAAACTAAAACGACAGCTCCCTGAAGATAGGATTTCTGTAATTTCTGTCTGATGGGGAAGTGTTCCACAGAACTGCATTTACAGATCAGGTGTCACAGAAGTTTGTTCTTCAAGAAATTGTACTTCAGTCTTTTCTATTGTTCTAGGATACTGTTATTTCTTTTACTATCATTTTCCATCAGTTAGTGCTTAGGAAAGAATCTCTCCCTGACTCTCCAGATGCTGTTATTTCTGTTTGAGTGGGGGGAAAAATCTACATCAGCAGAATCTCCTCAAAAACTTTCATGTCTGTGCTTACCTTCCAGAATACAAGTCTGCTTACTTAAAATGCAATGATCCTTCAACTGTTCTCATTTTCTGGAATTAGTTCAGAAGATCTTCTTGTTGAGCAGGTATCTTCTAATGCTTTGAGGTAAACCAGCATGCCTTATCTCTTAGACGTGTAGATTGACAGCTTGGATCAGGTTTTCTAGGCTAAGAATGGAAAGTTACTTGGGGCTGACTTCAGCTCCTGTGTACAGACAGCTGGAAAAAGTCAGCCATTATCACTAGGCAGGCCCCATGTGTTGCCTATGCCCAGGTGCTGCAGAGTTGGTATAAAAGATGTAGCTGAGTTTTGTCGTTTCTCATCCTGTATTGTGGGTATTGTTACATTTGTGAGCTGGCTAGGTAGGTGAGTTAGCTGTGTAGCGTTGGATCAGAGAGTGACCTCTGTGGTAGTGTTCAGCTACAGCTCAGTTATTTCCTTCTGCTCTGTCTCTGCTATGGTGCTTTAATATGGTTCAGAATTACTTCTCAAATCTCTTGGTATCATCTCAGTATCTCATCCATCAAAGGGTTTGTGAACTCTCTTGTGTTTTGTCAGTGATGTTTTTACTCTGAGATCTGTTAATCATATTACAAAGAATACCTGATTTCTCTGCTTGCTTGAGTCTTTCTGTCAATGGGTCAGAGGTAATCTTGTTAAATTTCATTTGGCTCTATGAGTAGCTGCAGTATAAATTTATATGTGTGTAGAACCTACTTGCTTGATCCAGTAATTGAATGTCGCATAAAATTTGTTTTGCTCAATCAAAGGGATGTCTAGTCTTCTGAAAGCACTGACTGTGGTCAGCTATGAATTGAACGAGATGCTCTTCTGTTTGAAATGATAAACTGAGTACCATGCAGTAGAGAGAAATTGTATCTGGATTGCAACTAAGGTTTCCAACCAGAATCACAATAGAAATTCAAGTGAGATGTCCTTAGCATATAACCAAAATACCAGATGTAGCTGTGAGGGTATATTGTTTTGTTCTGCTTATAATGGAAAAAAAAAGGTGTGTGTGTGTTAAACCCTTCCCTATTGCTCCATTCAATTGCTCTATTTTAATGTAGCATATTCCATTTCGAACAGAGCTTTGGATATATGTAAGTCTGATTTTACGTTCTTTATGAAACAAAATTTTGAGAGATTAAAAGTGTCCTGTCTAATTTTACAATTATAGTTAGGCTTTAAAATTATTTCTTTTTCCCTCTGGCATGCCATAGGGGGCACATGACTCCATAATCATGCGTCTAGATGCTTAGTTTAGCATTTAAATCAACATGCCAAGAGTTTACACCTTATCAAGCCTTAGATTAGCACATTTATGCATGGAGACTGATTATCTTGATAATCTGTTAATGTAGACTAATATTTTCTCTGCAAAGTAGACAAGTGGCAAAGAAAATAGTCTCATGATATGTATTCAGAGCTGGTTTACCGTTTTCGGGACTTGCTGTAGGGAAGATCTCTGTCAGATTAAAACAGTGCTGGAACTCATGATCCAAAAAAGTGGTTTCTGATCTCTCCATGCCCTCTATATGGTCTTAACAGACAAATTCAACCCAGTGCAATTTGCTTTGAAATTTTTATGAGCAGGAAGTCATGAAGTACTTATAGCATGACTGCACATGAAATCAACCTACAACCAAGACTATTTACTTGTACTCTTTGATTAAAAGACCAAAGCATTTGTTCTACAAACAATTCCAATGCAACAAAGGATGGAATACATGCCACATGCTTAATTTAATAATGAAAATATTTGCTAACTTCAGAGAGAGTAGTTATGTGTTTAAAATCATATGCCTGTTCAAATTTGTTGTTGTTCAAAGCTTATACAGGCAATACTTACCTTATTTCTCTATAAATTGCCAAACTGGTAAGAACACCAACTCTAACAGTCATCAGTATTAAGTTATTCATAGCATTCAGGTGTCTGCTCAGAATTCAGACTGCAGAACTTCTTAGCTCATACTAAAATAATAACACTAACAATTACAGCCTCATTGCTCTTTGACAGAAGCCTTTGAAAATCTTGTCAACAGGAACTCTTTTTATCTCGACAAAACCACAATGTACAGGTCCTCTGCTCTTAACCCTTGGATGCTTTAAGAAGAATCTAGTCTTGTCCAACTGCAGTATTATTGACGTGTAAAAGCTTTTTTGTGCTTTGTAATGTCTTTAAAAGCAGCACAAACAATATTTGTCCATATAGTATGAACCCTTTCCAACTGATCATTGCCATTATATCTCTTTAGACCTCTAGAATTTGTCTAATAGAGGATGCAAGATCATATCTATGTAAATCCAGAGTTCTGTTTGAAGTTGGACACCCAAAATTGAAATAGATAGAGCTTAAAATGTCTTTCAAAGCATGGTCTGGACTTATCCAACCTTCAGTTATAAAATAGAAACATACTTCCTAAGGAGAAAATCTTAAGACCTGTAGCACTTGCTAACAGCATGCTGGGGCATTGCATTAGTATCAATGGACAGGGAAAAGCGAAACAGTCTATAGAGTAATAAAAGGCCCCTTTTTCTAGTAGTTGGATTTTCTGTTCCAGCACAGTATCAGCTGGGCCTGATTTTCCTTTCTTTGTGATAACCTTAGTAACCATTGCCTGAGTGATTCATATAAGAATAGACTAAATGGACAGTAGAGTTCACTTTTTCTCACCATCAGAGGAAGAAAATACAGACTTATTCACTGCCATGAGCACCAATTGCCTGCACTCTTAAGTTACACTCCAAATGACAAGTAGCTGATATAGCTTGGAACATACTCATTAGTATAAATATGACCTGAATATTTCCATGCCCCATTTGTCCCAAAGATTCTTTGGCTGCAAACTCGTTTGTCTCATTTCTCCCTTCTTACTTGTTCTCTCTTTTTGTTTCTGTACTTCTGTTACTTCTTCCTTTTATTCTATCTTCCACTCTCCACCCCCCCCCCCCCTTTTTTTTTTCCTACTAAAAAACATTGCTCTCAGCTTCTTTCAGGCAAATTGAGTTTGTTTTGTGCAGTACAATATCTGCCTTTCAGGGTCTTTCTGCAAATCCTGAAGTACTTCTAGCTCTTGTTTCCTTACACCACTCCACAGAAGGAGAGTCTAAGACCTCAGGAGACAGCAGCTGTTGAAGCATGGGAACAGTAATGTACTCTAGGATCAACCCTTTTATTTCTGATAGTTCTTCAGTACACTTCTTTCCTCTCTTGTTCTGAAAGCCAGTGCGTGCCATAATACTTACCTTTGCTTTCAGCTAGAGCCTGGTTGGATACTGAAGAGCTATAATGGCAGTGATGAGTTGGAAAAAGTTCTTACCATGGTCAGGTCAATTAAGGCTCATTTGTACACTTGGGTGCTGACAACTATATGGACAAATATTGTTTGTGCTACTTTAAAAAGCATTACAAAGCAAAAAAAAAAAAAGCTTTCACTCATCAATAATAATGCAGTTGGACAAGACTAGATTCTTCTTAAAGCATCCCAGGGTTAAGAGCAGGGGACCTGTACATTGTGTTTTTGTTGAGATAAAAAGAGTTCTTGCTGACAAGGTTTTTCAAAGGTTTCTGTCAAAGAACAATGAGGCTGTAATTGTTAGTGTTATTATTTTAGTATGAGCTAAGAAGTTCTGCAGTTTGAAATCTGAGAAGATGCCCAAGTGCTACATTTGAAAAAGGTGCCATTAAACATTTGTAACATTAGTGTGGTATTAAAATGTAACATTATGCAACAAGTAAGCATAGGAAAAAAATATTTCCGTGGAAAAATGTTGGTTCGTCAATGTTTGTCTGTACATGCAGCAAAATTGGATGGTGTTAGAAATTGAAAAATAAATTTATCATCAACAGTACGAGGCAAGAGTAATTCTTCTAAGGCAGAATGCTAATAGAAGAAAGAAATAGCCATTTTGTATAGGCTCTGGTCCTACAGATGTTCAAATGGCTATTTAAATATTGTCTGATAATCTTTACTGGGTGGAAAAATGCAGAATTTCTTCTTACAGCTTTTGGAGAATTTTTACAGATACTTTGTCTTCACATTTCTTTCATTTGATTTTTTTAGATGTCTGTTCCCCATGTCCTTCTTAACTGACTTTCTAGGCAGATGAAATTAAATATATTTGGCCCTGGTAGCTAGAAAGTCCTGTATCTATGTAAGTTTTCCTGGTTTGAAGGTATCTGTTTTGGCCCTCTTCCTAGCACATACCTTAATTCAATCATGCACTTCTTACTCTTTATTTTTTTTTTATTCAATTTAATGATCAAAATATGACAACAGAATTGTAGGTGTCAGTGAGATCTTACTCTTTATATTATTATTATTATTATTATTATTATTATTATTAACAATCTTCCTACAGGTACATGAACTGACTTCCTATAGCGTCAACAATTAATAATTTGAATTGGGAAAGAAACAATTGCTGATGAGTTCTTTTCTCCCAGAAAGGTCAAACTGAATTCAGTTGGAGAAAAAATTTAAATTACTTTGACCATGATAACTTGTTGTTTTCTACATTCTTAGGGTGATGAATATAGATTCCACTGGTCATGATTTCCCTTCCCCATATACTCTCATTTGGAATGTGGCAAGACAAACTCCAGCTCTAATTCTCAATAAAGATGTAATTGGCATGCTGGGATTTTTGAAAGTCATAATTCATCTTTCTTCTTCAGGATGATTTTCCTTACGAGTTCTGTAACATAAGGTCTTATTTCTTCAACAGAGACAGTGGAGTCCCAGGCCTTTACTACTTTCCCATTGGGGTCCACCAGGTATTTCCAGAAGTTCCAGGTTGGTTCTTCTCCTGTAGAATCTACAGGCAAAAAAGTGGAAAATCAGAAAAGAAAACCATGGTTAGCCAATTCCTGACATTTGTTCATGTCAATTTGATGATTACTCTCTCAAAGGAAAAAGGAATGTAAAATTAAGAGTTCAGACTGAATAATAAGATTAATTTTCTTACAGACAGGGAGCTTTAACTAGACAGTAGCCCCCTGGAGACTAATGGAAGCAGTGAAGCTTGAGACAGACAGACAGGAAAAAGCACTATAACCAGTGTTAAAGTGTGTGTGTGCGTGTCTGTGCTATATAGCTAAATCTGAAACAGTTGAACAGTAATAGGAAAATGTATTATATATTATTTATATATAATATCTATACCCAGAACTTTTCCTCAGGAAGCACCCAGTATCATGTGCTTCAGAAGAATGTTTTAAGAAATGCTACATGAAGAAATAACAGAGTAAACTCCAGTAAGTTCCAGGTGGTTTCTTCCTAATCCTCATATACTACAGTTTTTCCCTCCATGACCACATACTCATTTTACATGAGTCACATTCTTACCCTTTGCTATTATGCTACATGACTAACAAAATTTTCAGGATTTTCAAGCAGACCAGGGGCCTCATCTCTCTGATAGCACAAGTACAGACACTACAGACAAATTAGCATCTTTTCCCATTGATTATACGTTGGGCAAAAATTTCATAAGGAATCAGTAGATATTTCAAAGTATCATCAAGACACAGCCCGACCTGCTGACTATCTTGTCATTATGCTGCATAAATGTGCTGCCTCCAGCAGACTCCCTTTTGTGTGTGGGCCAACAGGGAAACAGAAGTTTTGCCAAGTATTGTGTGACGTGTCTGCAGTAATGACCCTTCTGGGCAAAATAGAAAAGAAGGATGTGAAGATGACTAAAAGGAAGTTTGGCTAGCAGAAAGATCCATTACAGACAGCTGGAAGGAGGTGTGCTTCAGGTAGTCAAAAATAGTACTACCATCACTCCTTTAAATTCAGTGGTATGTGGGAGAGCACTGGTGTGCTGGAGAGAAGCAGCGGTGATATGGTCCTTGCAGAATGCAGCTCAGGTGATACTATGTCATACTGTGCTTTATTATATATCATTGCTGGAAGACATTTCCTTTATGTTGGATAAAGACTGATGTTTTAGTTTAGCATTTAAACGGTTATTTAGAGTATTTGTTCAGTGCAAGAAAAGTAGTGCCTTGATAGAGAATATCCTGCTTTATAGTGTATTTTGCTAGCTGTCTGCCAAGAACCAGCAAAACCTCTTCAGTTCTTAGTGCTAGCTATAGCACAGATTAGAACTAGAGAGACTGTACAGTATGGGTATTCCAATGCTTGGCAAGGGGTGAGGAAGGGAGTATTCAAGGACATCTCTTAGCGCCTGGTTTCACTTTTTGATTGTTGAAGTAAATTGTGTAGGTGCTTTGCTTCCACTTATCCTACAGCTCTTGAAATGAATCTTATAAATCCAACCTGCAACAGTTGTGTCACGGGAGAAGCACTTATGAGACTGCAAAGTGGAAAAAGGAAGATCAGGTGTTGTATGCATACAGGAGAACATGTATTCCATGTAGAGGTTTATTAGACTAGCTTTTACAGGGCATTTGTTATTGTAGTGTCTCATCCCTGGAGATCTTTTTAAAAGGTTAGACAGTGCTGTCAGGGGTGACGCAGAGAGAAATCCTGCCTTGTGTAGGAGGATGGACTAAATGACTTCTGACCTCTTTAAGCCTGACAACTCTGGGCTGTGATTCTGTGAACACAGTCATAGATATCTCTTTTTTTCTGTTGGATGGTATTTTGTGTCAGAGGAATTCCACGCTGGGGAAACAACCCTCCAATGTTCCAGATTACTCACCAATTAAGTACTTGAAGGCAGGAATTGCACCGGCTCCGCTGACTGCAATTTTGCTGAACATGGGAAAGGAGGCACCATAAGTCTTCCGCGCAAAACTCTCGATTTCTTTGTTAGTGTCTGGTTCTTGCTGCCCAAACTGATTGCATGGGAACGCCAGCACATTGAAATGATATGGGCCGAGGTCTCTCTGTAACTGTTGTAAGGCCTTGTAGTGGCTATCTGTATAGCCACACTCACTCGCAACGTTGACAACTAGCGACACCTAAAGAACAAGAAGGATTAAAAAATATGCTGCACGTGACAGTTTTCCAAAAGGTAGGCTGGGATGCAGATTATATTAAAAAAATTAGAATGCCTAGAGAACTGTGACTGAACACTTACTATGTTTGAAACTACATCAAGTTCTGTTCACAATAGGAAGATGTAATATTTCTCTTATGTATTCCCATTTGGCAACCATGAAGATAATAAAAAAAATGCTAAGCAATCTTAATAATCAGTTTACAGAGAATCTATGTTTCTCTGTTCTGCCCTTTGGATAGTTTCTAAGCATATTTAAGAAATTACTATCCAGCTAGATACACCAAGTTGCATGAAAGAAACTTGCAAATGTATTTTTGGTAGTTTATTTGTCTGTCATGAAGCATCTGTTCTGCAGTGTCTTTCCTTGTACAGAATTAGTACTTGTACAGAACTGGCTGATCCATTTATCATTGCTAGCGTAGATGTAACCTGGAAGTTAATAGAAACAATTACAGGATTTTGGGTTGGTCTATGCAATATGGACTGTAAAATTTCCCACGATTTCTAGAGTAAAATCTACTCTGTTGTGACCAAAATGACAACAGTTTCTGCATAAAGGTTTACTGCCTCGATTAGAGATTCCAAGAAGTGAACACTGTGCCCGCTATCCTTTAAAGTCATTCCTGCAGCTGATCATTGTTGACGTTGTGCGCATTGTGTCATTCAGACATTACCACCCGACACGTTTCTGCCTGCATAGATCCAGCAGAGAGGAAGATGCCAAACACATATGAGCACTACAGGAGAATAGAGGCATGTGTAAGGAGAATACATGGTGGAATAGATTCTGCCAAGAATTTGTTGGGAAAATTAAGTACCTAATCCTGAGCTGACACATACTACAGTTTCTCAAGGCCTTGAAGAGCTTTCCATTGTTTTTTGAGATATTTTATCCTTAAATAACTTCAAGAATTTATTTTTAGGCTTACAGATTTTATTATTGTTACAAATTTTGTGTGATTGGCCACTCATTCTACATAAATTGAAACTATTCTAATATTTTCTTCAGCGTGGATTAAAAGCTGAATGTCATAGATCTTTTAGATACAATATGATTTTATTTTAAAAAATAGCATCACACACTTTATAGTGACGTTTCTTTTACATATAGCTACATTCTATTCCTTTTTTTCAGACCAATGTGTAAGAGTCATAAGGCAATATAAATTTTATAATACTAAAAATATTTCTGCCCACCTAGATTAAAATTAGGCATAGTGCAGAAAAAGCATCATGATTTGGGAACTGAAATTCTGCCTGGTTTACACTGAATCCTGTGGGTTTCTACAGATTATACACCAACCCAGAAGCCAGTCCTTCATTCTCAAATTGCAAAAAAAGTTTGAATTCAATCAAACTAGCCAACACATTCCCCAGTGCTAGTACAACAGTAGCTATTCACAGCGGATCTTTCTACAAGTGTTTGGAGGTTTCGTAGAAGATGGCATCTTGGTTTCATTGTTGTCACTGTGCGACAGCAGTGTTGAAGGGCCCAATGCCACAAGAGGAAAGCCTGAAGCTTGGACACATTAACTGACCCAATCAAATTACACAGCAAACAGCTGCAAGGCAAGAAAAGGAAGTAAAAAATCTTGACTCTGGGTCTCATACTTTTGTGTCTGTGACCACTGGCTTTGCTCAATTTAAACTTTGGATTCCAATGTTACTAGTGTTGCATATTCCTATATGTATGTTCTTATACAAAATATAAAAGTATATAGCAAATATTAATAGAGTGTATCCAATAAATTATATGAAAAATACACGACTACATGTGTATAGAGTTTTTAAGGCCAGAAAAAAACCTCGCATATAAAAGCCCACAATCTGGGTAAAGTATAGGGTAATAAGATGAAATCCCTAGAAGGGGTAGGAATGAGTAAGGGAAAAGCTAAGGGGATGTTTATCATTTCTTATGTTAAATGCTTACTTTGTATATTTTGTACCTTCTACAGGTATATGGCTATTTTTAAAGTGGTTTTGGAGTGACAACGTTTTCCCTGGAAGACAGGTAATCTTATAAAGCAGACGTTGATGTAATCTTTGTGGTGTAGTGTGTCAACAGAATACAATCTAAGCAATCCCTATACACTTGCATATGAAATATGATCTGGAGCCATCTAGCTAGTTTCCAAAGCATTGCATTCATTCAGACTACATTTACAAGCTCTACCTGAAATTTTAAATTCAGTCTCCTAAAACATCCAAAGATATGGTGTATAATCAGATTTTTCTTTTCAGAGAAGTAGTAATAATTTTATGATGTGTTCCTGTTGCAGACTGTCAGCATTTCAAATAGAACTTATATATTGGACATAAAAAATAACTATTGGCAGTTCTGTGCTTTTTAAATAATCTGTATTTACCAAGCCTACTGACAACTGTAGTTAAGTGTGACTGAAGTAGAGAGTCACATGTAGTTCTTTCATATAAAATTCTAGAGGGTTTTTTAAATCTAGTTGAAGACTCAGCATTCTCATGATGCAGAAGTGTTCATATACCTTACCATATTCATATCTATTGGTACTTTACCCCACATACAGTGCTAATGTAAGAATTTATCGTTGGAGGTTTTGGGGAAAAGGTTGTGTAGGTATTATGTTCATATTATAATAGATATGAAAGATGACATGCCAATGAAAACAATCAAGCTTTTATAATTTTTACTTGATATTGAAGTTGGGAGGACTTGAAAGAATTCACTCAAAAAGAGACAACAATTTTAATTGACAGCTGCTTAAAACCAGTGATTACTCAGCATGGTGGTGAAAGGCATGAGAGCTCATGCTGCAAATGGTGCAAACTTCCAAACATTCTCTCACAAAATAGGAGATAAACTACACACAGCGTTTCTTAGAATAGTAGACACATTCTACTTCTATTTTTTCCGTAGAAAAATGCATTCTATTACTGAACTTCATAATTTAATAGTGAAAACCTCTTAAAAGTATAACTAACACATATAATAAAAAACTTTAAGGATTTATTACTATTTCGTAAGGAATGTTTAAAATTACTGTTTAAAAATCTTTACCAAGTTCTCTCTCAAGTGTCTGGTACCAGAAGTGATTAAATGTGGTGATTTTTTTTCTATATTCTATTTTTAATAAATAGCAGTCACTCTTTTTGTTCTCATGAAGAGGCTGTACTTTGACCTCTTACAACTATTAATGATTAAATTAAGTCCGCTGTGCCTCTTGTCTGACTTTAGGATCTGAGAGTGCAAGTCAAGTACACCACCTAGTGTGCAGTGCAAACAATTCATCCTGGACTTTACAAGAATTATTTAATTTAAGCTGAATTCTCTGTTAGCTATTGTCTGACCTCTTAATACTATCCTTTCCTTCCATTTGCTTAGAAAACACATGCATTCTAGTAGTGAACTCATTTATTTAACACTGCAAAAATATTTCTTCGTTTAATTAATGTTTACACCAGTGTATCTCCTTGAGGAAAAGATCCCTAGAGAGATTTATGAATCTGCTACCAGCTTCAAGTAACCCTTTGTGGATCTGTTAGCAGAGACAGTAGATACTTAGAGGTTTAGACCTGGAGATTCTTAACTGGCTCCATCTGACTGATGGAAGAACCAGCGACAAGTGTCAGATTACACCATCTCAGAGAGTTGTTACCTTCATGGAAAAGAATAGCAATACCTTGTATGGTAATTAAGTAGCTATACTCTGTATTTATGCACATTCAATAATATTACATTCTTGGATTGCAAAGACCTGTGATGCAAAGTCCCTAGCATTATTTTCAATAGTAAAATAATACTTCACATTGTTATAGTGCCTAATGCTTTTACATTATTATAGTACCTTTCATTCAAGATTTCCTAAGCACTGCACTAACACTGCTTAATTACACCTCAGCACACTGTACTTAGCTGTGTGGTAGGTAGGCAGGCAGGCAGGTACGTAGGTACTATTATATCTAGATAGGTATAAACATAGCAGGGAACAAGTTGACGCTTGGGAGCTCTGACTCCCAAATAGATACTATTCTTGGCAAGAATACTGCCTATTACAGCATATAAGATAGAGAGCATAAAATATAAGCTTTACTGAATTAGATGGGTAGATAGATAGTTTAGATCGAAAACTAATCTTCTTTGGATCCTTCTGATTCTTTTCCAACCACACATCACTGCCCTTCATTTTTAATGTAGATGGGTCAACATCAGTATGGTAGCCTGGAAAAAGCATAGGAGGGTGGCCTTCTTGTGCAACACAGTAAAACAGCCAGCTTTTTGATCTATTTCACTTCTGGTACTCTTTTTTTCAGTCATAGTAGTCTTCCCTTTCTCTGCTTTCAGGCAGATGTAGTATCACACCTGATTTTGTAGCACGTATGCCAAGTTTTCAGCATTCTGGCAGTATCTCTTATGCCCCCATAAAAAGGGAGTACTCCCTCACATATTATTGATATTTTCATTAAAGTGGAGGATAGGTTATGAGTGTGCACATTTATTTGAGAAAAAAAAATCTGTTTATTTTTTTTCATTTTTGTTATTTCAGAATTGTTATTCCATTTTTTATTTACTGTATAACAGAGAGTACTTGTGATTTGTATCAAGATGCACTTGAATGGAAAATGAAATAATATAAATTGGTTTTACTTCTTTCTTACTAAAAGTTATCTCAATGTAAATACACAGTAATTTATATTAATAATAGTTATTGAAGAAAGATTCTGCAAGTCATGAATTGTACTGACTGTTTCTACTTAGTATGGCTCTTGTGGTTTTAGAATTAGCAGACTTTTTTTATACTCTGGAAGCTTTTGGATTTTTTCAGTTCCCAGCTAGTTTCTTGGCTATAAATTAATTATTTAACTAAATTAGTTGAGTGACTGAATTGAAGAAAATGTTTTCTCTACATCTGCCAGAAAGCTTAAAGCTGTTACAAGCAGGTTTAGCAATGAGCAGACTATTGTTCCAGAGGCTAACTAGTGACTCACTTTCTTTAAAACATCAGCAGCATATACATAGTACTTGTATATTATTTGCATTAATGGCTTTAAAATATTATGATAAACTTACGTCTTAACATTACTTATCTAACTGCAGATTTAAGTGGTTTATTTTAGGAAATAAATGGGAGTTTTAATTAACCTTTGCCTACCTTGATATTGAGCTCTGACAATGTAATAGCAGAAAGGGATGTGTTTTATTGCTGTAAATTTCTTTAAAATTGTGCATGTGCATTCTCAAACAGCAGCTAGTCTGAACATTAATAGGCTCTCTGAATGCAAATCTTTATGTTCCGTACAGAAGCTGGTCGTCACTTTTTTGGAATAGACTATTCCATATGGCCTAGCAGAGATCAAGGAGTACCATTCACCGATGGTGTTGCTTTTCCCAAGGTATGGCCCTAGAGCTCTCCCTCACGAAACAGTCATGCCTCGAGGACGGCCTGGTAGCATAGCACCACTGGAGATACAGACACACAGCCCTAGCCTGGCGTGTTCATGAGATACCAGGGCAGGCTCTGCAGCTTGTTCCAAAGGGTATGAACACCTTCAGCTCTCTGCAGGGCAGCTGTAAGGAATTCCTCCTAGTTCCCCCTTTACTCCTTTCCATGTGGATTCTGGCCCTGAGGTAGAGAAGCTGCAAGTGGTATTTGCTTATTTAGACAGATTTGCAGATGACCTGCAGACATAAAGTGCCCCAGTAACAGGATTTATTGACAGAGCCTTTGGAAAGCACTCCTTAAAAAGCAAATATTGCTTAATATTAAATAGGTTCCATGTTTTTTCCAATATAGATATTTGAGTGTGCATTGGCCCAGTTCTGCTCTATCCAAATTGTGAACAGAGGGAGAGGGGGAGGAGGACTTTGACCAGGTAAGAGTCAGACCTCTCATTTGGTCCAAATCAACCTGTACCCCTTTCTACTGAGCTCAGGAGAATACGCATCTCCACCTCCCATGGGCCTTCTCTGCCTTCCTGCCGATGTTTTAGTGACCTGCTGCTGTGGACTAGCGAGCTTAGACACCTCAGTGAAGTACCTGAGGAGGGGGAAAAGGAAGCTGGAAACACAAAGCTGGAGAACAAGGGTGAAAGTGAAAAGTGGTGCCTGCCTTTCTGGGCAGCAGCTAAGCTGTCAGACTGCCTGGCTGTACCACAGAAGATGTGTCACTTGAGTGCTAAGGGTGGCAGCTGTGGGCTTCGTGTCGATTTTAGCTTCTGTAATTTGTGAATGTGGCTATAAGAGCTTATAGTATGATGCACCCCATGTGCTAACTTCCCTTTTCACTCTTCCACAGGTACTGACCATCTTTCCTAGACGGTCAAACCACTAAAAAAAGAAAAAAAAAAAAAAAAAGAAAAAAAAATCAGGTTACATTCAAGGAAATTGCTGTTAAAATGGGAAGGAAAGCTCTGCCTAGAACTCCTGAATGTAACACGTAAATGAAATTTAAAGGACATTATAAAAGTGTATGTGTGTCTACGTGCCCTTCTTCGTACTGCTGTTACACTAAAAAGCGACAACTGGAATAGCATGATTTTGCTGCAATTCCACTATACACCGGTATTAAAATAGCTACTTTATCATGCCTGCCTTTTGCTTTTTTACTCATTATGATGAAATCTGTTAATTCCATTAGCCACCGATTAAATACCATCTCTTTTTTTAAATGCAGAACATTCAAAAAGGAATGGGATTTAGGTTAAAAATATTTTACTAAAAGCCATGCGGTTAAAAGGCAGAAATAAGCTCCCAAAGTAAGTTATACAAAGACACAAACTTCCTGAGCTTCAAGTGTAACAGCCACGACCCAGTGCGGCTCATCCTGCGGAGGAGCGGCCGGCCGGCAGTCAGGCAGGCAGGCAAGCATCCCCTGCCTGCCACGTCTACAGGCAGGAGCCTGCACCAGGAAAAGACGCGGACACACACGGAGGTTGGAGACTGCAAACGTTTTATTTAAAGGGTGCAAAGACCTACCGAGCGCTATCACGGGAAGCATGCAGGCAACGCTCCAGATCAGTTAAAGAAGAGTCGTAAACCCGCATCTATCTGCGCGCCTGCCGCCGGTTAATGTCCAACCTCTCCACCCCCAGCTGGCTTTTGCAGACATGCATGCAAGGAGCGGCTGGTTAGCGAGGCAGGGCGAGAGCTGCCCGCTTCCGCGCCGACTTACCGAGCCCCTGTACTTCTCCAGAGAGACTAGTTTGCCCCTGATGTTTACAACTTTGAAAGTGTAAAAATCAGGCTCTTTCTGCTGCGTAGCGGAAAAGGCTAAGAGCAGGAGTGCTGCAATTGCAAGGAGCATGGCTAGAGGGATGAGGAAAACTTTGGGGAAGGAAGAGGAAGGCTGGTGCTCCACACTGCCCTCAGGATCTAGCATACTGCACGGCCGCGCTCCAGAGAGGCTGGCCACGATAGGAAAGCGCTGCCGCAAAGAAAGGACTGCTGCAAACCGAGCTTTTGCAACAGTCTGGCTTCTGCAGAGGCTTAGAAGCCGCGTCCGTACCAGACCTCCGGAGGACGTATTTATGGAGCATTCAAATACCCTAAAATTGAGTGTTTCATGGCGGTGGTGGTGTATTAAGTAAGGCCATTTATGGGTACAAGACAAATCAAAGTGCTGGTTGGCTCAGGAACAGTGATAGTGTATGTGTCTGGGAGACACCCGTCAGATTTGGTGATCTGCTTTAAGTCCTAGGAAAATCAGAGATGGAGTTATTGTGATTTTTGACGAATTTGCAAGTGCCTTTTTTTAGTATACTAACTGTAGCATCTAGTCACTACGGTGTAATGTCAAAGGATACCAGTGGCTTGGTTGCTAGTGGTTACTGAGGCAAGTACTCTGAACAGGAGTCGCAGCATACAGTCAGCAAAACCGACTGTAAACGTGCCATGCACGGTATCGTGTGAAATGGAGCACCACCAGCCAGGTCTTCAGGAAATTTGTCCCTCTGTGTGCACCTGGTTGGTGAGAAGTGAGCGGTGAGACTGCTGGTCTTGACAGTGTGATCTGGGAGAAACCTCATTACCAAAGGGTTTTTAAGCAAGAAAGAGGCATTAAGCATTGGGAATTGATTTTGGTACCAAAGCTTTCGGATAGACAGAGCCAAACCACTGCTTCAGTGCACTGATGTCACTGTTGGGTTGTCTGCAAGAAAAAACTAGCCATTTGTACAATTTGCTACTATGCCTGCTGGAAGAAAAGGATTTGTATATATAAGGTAACAACAACAGAAAGCATTTGATGGTCATTGATTTCTTCTTGGACCAAGAAACTGGTCCTCCATGCCTATGATTCTGATAATTCTTGGCAAAGAAAAGCAAAATGTAGTGATTTATAGAAAACAATTAAGTAGCACATCCAAGGCGTATTGGAAAACAATTAAGTAGCACATCCAAGGTGTATTGGAAATCTATCTTTTGAAGACCAAATTACATTTTGTAATCTCACTTTGTGATTTCTTTTCTTTAAACTTAGTTTTGGTAGATCTTTGACATCTTGATTAAATTTGGTTAGGTAATTCAAGTATAAGTGGCCTTACTGTAAGTGAACAAGCCATGTATAACTAGTTGAAAAATTTAATTATAGTTCTTAAACATTTCAGATTTTTCATATTTTTATGTATTTCAGCTTAAGCAGACATCCAGCATCAAGAAATAATGCAATATGCTACAAAAATATATAGATGGAAAATCTTCTACCATGCTGTCTATGGGGAAGATACATTGTGCTAAGAATCTGAAGTTCTCATCCTGACAGATAAGTTCTACCTTTCTGTATATTTTCCTGGCAGTAGTATTGACCAAGAACCTTTCCTTTAGATGACAGTCAAGTATGATTTCCTTATTTTTTAAATAAATTATCTAAGAAGCTTTAGAGTTTCTTCAGACACAGCTGGAGACAGAGAGTAGGGCTTTAATATAGTATATACATTTCCATAAATTTTAAAAACCTAATAAATCCTAAAAATAATTTAAAAAATCATTCCAATAATGACAGTAATTCAACATAAGCATTTTTTGGCTAGAAAATTAAAAATCATAGAATCATTTGGTTGGAAAAGACCTTTAAGATCATCAAGTCCAACCGTACCTGTCCACCACTAAACCATGTCTCTAACCAAATCTACAACGCACTTTTACATGTTTTGAGGCATAACGTTATAGTAGTTTGGGTATGGGACTAAAGATGAGGCATCGTACTGCAACATAAGACAGACAAGGTTTTGCTCTGGGAAGGACTTTATAAAATCCACTTCCTACAGCTTTATGATTATTGTCTCTGATTTCTAAATAAAATTTAGTGGCTTTCAGAATTATATTTTCTCCTACCAACTGAGCCCAGAATCTGAAAGTTTTTGATCACTGGCACTGATTTGGGAATTCTTTAAATAATGGCCAGCTGGCAGTAGAATTCAGCTTCCTCTTTTACTGCTATGTTTCTATATTGCTCCCTGCAATAAAACATTCTTTAACATTGGCAAAGAAGAAGGAATTGTTTCTGAATACAGAGATAGACTATGTCAAAGACTGTTGGCTTTATTCAAGTTTTCACAGCCAAACTGCACTAGCATTTCATATTAAAGTCTATCCAGTTATTTGAACTAAATCTGACATATTGTAATAAATTTCAGCTTGCAGGAAAAATGCCAGTCAGGTTTGCAAACTGGTGTGTGTTTGCTCACTAGCATGTCTAAATGTTGATCTAGGAGGACCGTATCCAGCAGCAAGTATAATTTAGTTACTTTTTCAGTTTACTCTTTGGTCTACTAAACCTAGTAAAAAACTTTGTCAAATAGTACTGGACTGAAACCACCACCCAGCTAACCTCAGCTGTCCCCCAAACAGTATTGCAGCACTGCATTTTCTGTCCCTGCTGACCCGGCCTGGGTTGGCCCATGTTCCTAAAGGTGAAAGCTCTGCACTACATCCCCTTAGCAATACCCTGAGCTACCCAATCCTCATTTTGTAAAATGTGAACTTAAGGTGAACTGCGAAAAAGCAGATTAGCTCTAAGGATTGCACTGACTTCCCAAATACATTCAGAAGTACGTCTTGCCAGCATTTATTGAATCCAGGATTACAGATTTTGCAACTGTTGTTTACCTACGACTCTCTGAGGTAGTGTTTCCAGCACTAGTACTTGCATTATTTTTAATACTCTCCTTTGAACCCCTTTAAGCCACATTAATCTTTCATGCTCCTTGTTTTTCTGGAAAGGCTTCCTTAGGCTGGGCTAGGAAGTGCCAACAACATGGCATTTCATTGCCAAGACGGGGCAGTACTATACTGGATCACCAAGAGATTTGCCTTACACAAGCACTTGCCAATCTCTTCAGGTCACCCTCCAGAGCTGCCACGAGCCAGGCGAGCCGGCTCCTCTCCCCCGCGACCT